AGAGGCCAGTGAGGACATCTGGCTATGTGTATTTCTGGAACAACCAGGGAAGCAGGGCTGGAGAAAACGCTTAGGATAGACATGGTTATGTTCAAAGTTAGCAGAGATTATTGACCTGAAGTATCATCTTGATCCATAAGGGGGCATAGGTCTAACTTGGAGATAAACCCTGGGAGGAGTCACCTGGCAAACCCTGCAACTGTTTAAAAGACCATGGCTAAGGCTGATGGCAGCATTACAGTCCAGGTCACCAAAGGCCAATGAACGGAGGCACTGGCTGCGCTCAAAGGAGACTACCAGGAAAAAATGCACAAGAGACAACCAATTAACTTTAGCTTCAGATTGGAGGTGTATTTTAGAGTAAAGTTAGTTGACAGAAAACTGAGATTTGAGCATGAATGTTAGGATTTAGACCAGAAGCAGCCATTCATCTAATATAATTATTTATTTTAGAAAGCACATGCAAGGTAACTGGAGCTTAGTCAGTTAAATGACTTGGCTATATTTGCTTCTGAGGATGAAAATTATAGTTCACGGAATTAATGCTATGGCAAAGGCTTGTCTAAGATTGAGTTTATAGTTGGAGCTAGGATGATACTTGTTTGGAAAGGTAGTAGCTTATGTAACTTGGGAAGAGGTGGGTATAGGAGCCAGTTATGTACAGATACATAGTCCAAGCTGCGAGGGGTACCTACGTTATTACAACCAGGACTAAGAAGCAAGTTAGGCAGTGCAAGTGAATTCTGGGCAAAGTGAGGACAATTATGATTTCACCTACATCCAAAAATAGCCCCCCAAATTAAGCCAGAGAAGTGCTTAAAACTTTAAGAATATTTTTCATTCTGGGTAAAGGAAGTTAGAGATAGTTTTCAATTTATAGCACCATGGGAAGCAAATGGGAAGGACATAGAATAGCTTCTTTTTATATAATCGTTACTAGGTTAATATAAGTATACTGATCACATTAAGGATAAGTCTCAGCTAGAATTAAAAAAAAAAAAAAAAAAAAAAAAGAAAAAAAACCACAAACCAAAACACCTCCAGGTCTCAGTCAGAACTAACATCAAAAATGGCCTTAAAACGAAGTTTCTGCCTAGCTACGCCCAAAGCCACCTAAACCAGTTCCAGCACTACATGTCAGAGTAGTTCACACCAGTCCTGATCTCAGACTAGCACTCTAACTTCTTTCTTTTACTAATATTTACCCAACTGCCTCTTTCAAAAATGATCCCACATGGCAGCTATCAAGGCCCAGGTATGGGTATTGGTATTTGAGAAATGTACAACAGCCTTCTTTCTAGCCCAGCCATCTCTGTCATACTCTAAATTGCATGTAGGCAAACAGAATACCAGTATTTGAATGTTTAGACATTCAGAAGTTGGGGTTAGGTTTAGATATAGGATGAAGCTTCCATGAGCTGAAGAGCAGGAGTAAGGTCTGGTCTGGTAGGCCCTGTACTAATTTGGGGACCAGTGCTTGCAAAGGGCCACCTAGATACTTTCATATAAGAAGTTGTAAAGGTAAAATCATAGTAGCAGCTTTAAAGCGCATTCAGAAGATTTCAATTAGGCAGCAGAAGAGCCTATTTATGCACTTCATAAAAATGTAAAGAGTGCCAAGAGCATAAGGCATAGCTCTCGGCTCTCCCCACCACAGAGGCGGTTTTCCCCCCCAGGAAGGGTATGGCCTTACTTGCTGACTGTCTGTCCCCTTCCCACAGAAGCCTGCGCTTCTTCCTGGAGAGCCTCACCACCCCAACCTGCCCAACTGCAGAGCACCCAGGTCTCTCCTGTGGGGTTGGAAAGGGCAGCTTTGATCACTGTAAAATCTCCAGACATTTGCATATTTCATCAGGCCACAAGGTGTGTTCCAGTTCATCTGATCCTAATATCACCTTGACAGCAGCACAAGTAGTCAAAAGAAAAAAAAAAAAAAAAAAAAAAAAAAAAAGAAGAAAATTTAAAAAAAAAAAAATAAGAAAGCCCTTACATTCCTAAAAACCTCTACTTAAAGCACCTACACTTGTACTATCAACTATCAGACAGGGTGATCACTTTTTTTTTTTTTTTTAACTTATCCCTTTTCCTTAGAAGCCAAACTGGATGCATACTGAAACTAATATTGTCACAGTCTTGCAAATAAAGTCTCTGATTTCATTTTCTTCTGTCATTCTCTTGAAAGAGCGCTCCCTCAATCCATGTTCACATCCAATGCTAAACAAAATCAAAGGCATTTACTCACACCAGTTTTGGGATATCATGTTTTGGTTTGTGGATGAGTTTTGAAAAAAAAATCTTTACAGAACATGAAAACGTCATAGCATAAAGGTTGTCTGCATTTCGAAGTGTTCACTCATCCCTCTGAAAATGTGTGTTAATTACACAGTAGATTTGAACATTTATGGAGTTTAGTGCTTCCTCACAAGTTATCTACCAAATAAACCATCTTTTGCCAAGCTTCACTTTCAATTCACCCAAAGAATGCCTAAACCAATTCTCATGGGTTCCAGTCAATTCTGCAAAAAAACAAAGTAGTGAACTATCAATGTTTGGATGAATTCTCAGATACTCTGATACTAAAATCTGTCTGTGTTCAGAATTACTCAGATAATTAGTACACTTGTTAAAATTAAAATCTGATTATAAATAATGTAACCAAGGGATATATCACTACTATTCTTCCATGAAGGATGAACAATGCATAGTTAGATCCAGTTGAATGAATCAAGAGAAGCAGAAAAAAAACCAAAAAAAAAAAAAACCAAAAAACAGATTATTGGAGGGCTGGAGAAATTTCATCTGCTCTTGCAGCTTATTATATACTTGACTGAGATCTCTCTTGCCAACATTTATCAATGTGAAAAGTACAAAAAAACAGTATTATAAAGGGAATGAAGTTTAATAAAACATATGGATCATGTTACCTTTTGTAAACGGGCACTGATCCTGAAGCCACTTCCATCTGACCTGATAAACAAATCCCCTAGAAACAAATCTACAAGAAGAAAAACTAGTTCCTTATACCAGCATTCAGTAAGGAGGCTTTAAAAGAGAAAACGCTACTGCTAGTATCAGTTAATCAAGCACTTGTAGAAAATTTGACTTAATTGCAATACAAAAAGGATGTGACATACTGGAAGCTGGTAAATCTTCACCTGGCTACCTTGGTAAGTTTAATCATATACACTAATTTTTCTGCACGTGTGTGGCATATTTCTGCACTTTTTTTTTTAAGAATGTATTTTCTTTACAAATATTTTGCTGCTGAGAGATTCTATTCATAAAAGTAACTCATAAGTACTCATAAAGAAACTCATGTTTCAACTTATTTTTAAAAAATAATCTTGGTAAACTTAAAAGCACAAAACCCCCCATATTTTTAATATAAGAATTAGAAGAAAAGATGTCTTTAATCTTTTCTATTTCTGCAACAGAGCCCTATTCGCATGAATATCTGGAAGCTCCGTGCTGAGTTGAAAAATTCTGCATGGGGAAGACGTGATTATTAAAAAACAAAACAAAACAAAAAAGCAAAGAGAATTCCTGGCCAAACAATGATGAGTCTTTTTATTTCATTACGTAGCTTAGATGTGATTACACTTCACAAAATAAAAGTCTTGAAAGATTAAAAAGCAATAACAGCAAATCTCACAGCAATGGTATGCAATCATATCTTCGCTCAGAAGTGGAAAATATTAATAATTTCTCATTTTTCTCATTCATGATATATCTTGAATGTGATTTTTAGTGCTTGTCCATTTTAATAAGCATATGTGCTAATTAGCCTTTATCTATTAAAGAGAAATGAACAGATGCTAATGTATTTGTGGCTATTCACTACAGTTGTGAAAGAAGCCATTTCCACCATAAAGACGTGTTTTTTCTTCCTGTAAGCATCTGAATGATTGTCTTCTAATGGCTGAAAAGTTTCTAAAAAGCACTACTTTGTACTAGCAAACTTGATGAAATAATTTGTTTCTAATCGCTTTATAAATCAATCTGATGGGACTATATAATTAGACAAAAATCATATTCAATGTGTGATATTCAATCGCTCAATAAAAAAGTCAACATATGTTTGAATAAACTCATTCTAATAAATAGAAGTGCCCAAAGAAGCCAGCAATCATGAACAGCTTTAAGATTCCTCTTAGCAAACAAAGAAGCTGAATTAAAGAAGAGGTTGAATTAATAATCTTCAGTTATAACTTGAAATGTCAGTCTGGTTTTAGAGAGACTAGTCATCAAAATACCTTAAAATAGAGCTTCACGAATCATAGAACATAAGATTATTTACTGACTGATCAACAGATAAGTTACTTTGAAAAATTGTTGTCTTCATTATTTGATTACAACGTATACATAACGTTTACTACAAAATAT